TTGGGCAGCAACTGCATTATTGCAAAGAAACATTCACTCTAAAAGAGTACAGTTTTGTAAGGCGGTGTTCCATCTCCTTTTTATCATCATAATACCCAGTAACATATATACTGATGCTTACACCTCTGCAGAAAGTGTTAACTTTATTACCATAAAAAGAGTATTCAAATAGACCTTGTAGAGATACATTGTTCGTCTTGGGCATGTCCTTTTTGAGCAGGGGCCTGAGCCAGAGGCCTATGGTTTAGAAGGATAAGTTCCCAGGTCTCTCTTGAAACAACAAAACCCACATGCTGACGTGTGCCGCAAAATACTTATTGGGCATTGTAATCATCATTACTCATCCTCTGCAAAATTACCTTCCAAACTAAAGCAAATACGAAGAATCTGAGTTAATCAAACCAATCAATGAGTATTGAGTGATATCCCTCTACTGGACTTGCACTAACGACTGTAATGTTAATGGTTACGAACAACTGGTAGAACTGACTCCTGATGAAAAGATCCATGGAATGGAAGTGTTACAGAACGAATCTCAGGGCACGAAGGAGGTCTGCATACCGTTAGGCTCCAAATGAATGGTTTATTTCTCTTATAAAGGCAATATTTCGATCTATAAGATCTTCTTCAGGCCCACAATGAAAGTCTGTATTTATTATCTTCAAAAATGAACTCACACCTTTTGCAGATCCTGCTCTCTATTGCCATACATTATCTGCCACAGTAAGTCTGTGAAGTTCTGAAAATGTACTTTGTGATTATGCAATTTTTGCAAATGAATTCCCTGAGGTGTCACGTTTGTTTTTCACCTTCGCTGCCTTTCCCAATCGCTCTTCCCCTTTCCCATCTAGCATTATAATTGGTCTAATAATGGTTCAAATGACAGCCCGTGGCTGGGGCTGTGTGCTCATTCTATCCATACTAACGCAGCACTTCAACCTGTCGTACATTTCCATTATCCATTTTAGGGAGAACAGATAGTGCTCCCTCTGCAGGACCCCTCCTCAGAGATCACTTTTTACTTTGTTCACACACCATTATACACAATTAATGATTTTTATTTCAAGGAAAACAATGTTGATTATTAAAGGTGGTGTTCATAGGAAATGCATTTCTCTTACTGTTTTTCTCATTAAATTTGCTACATTTAAAACATTTAAAACAAGTTCACAGCATGAGAAAAATAAAGTCTGAATGTTCTTACTCCTCTAAGCTGTGTTTACGTCCCATTGGTTATTACAGGATCCAAACAAATCCACTGATGACCTTTAGAAGGATATCACTGTACATTTATAATAACATGAGCATGCAAAATGGGATTATGCCAGAGAAATGACAAAATAACAAGCATCACCTCATGTGTATTGTAGCGTAGGGAGCTGAATCTCTTCGCTGCCGGTTTATTCAGTTTCAACCTCCTCAGGAAATCTTACTTCACCTTCATAATCCTCAATAAAGAACAACACAAAATACACGTACACACAATATTCAGGATTCAACACCATGGATACATGTTATCTTAAATTATATCCGTTAGATTAATTGTTGTGTGAATCCTGTATGCCCATGATTAAAAACTGGAACATTTCTCAATCCTTGAATCAAGAAACAGCGAGAGAGAGAGAGAGAAACACTGCTGCTGGTAAGCCTCTCAACTACCATGCTTGACCGGTTAAAGAAGCGACAAAGCAGTGAGGCAAGTCTTTTTTAGTGTGTATGCGTGTGTGTACACTTGTACTTCTATCTTCGGGAGGGCCAATTTGACTTGTAGTCCTTCAGATTGAGGACATCTTTGAAAAGTGAAGCCATTTTGGTCGATCCTCACTTCCTTCCAAGGCCTGACTTGGATAGAGTTAGGGAAAGGGTTAGGCATTTTGTTGTGATGGTTAAGGTAAGGGTAACGGGTTAGGGAGTGCATTATGTCAATGTGTGTGTGTGTGCGTGTGTGTGTGTGTGTGTGTGTGTCCTTGTAGCTAATGATTTTTTCTGTGCAAAACAAAAAGCAGCTTACATCTCTTGGTTGGCTCTTTTGGCTGCTTGCACATTTCATCTACTTTGCCTGTCCATCTCCTCCTGAATCCTGTACATGAACCCAAAACAAGAGATGTCACCACACATGCACAAATACACACACACGCACACACACACACCAGCAACAGTGGAACCAATAGCTAAAGCGAAGCAAGTTTTGGTGTGCCAAAAGTAAATTGGTGAAAGGATAGTTTAAAAAGATGCTTGCCTGTTGAAAGCATATTGGACAATATAAAAATAAAATGATAAAACATCATATCTCAAAAGCTCTCTACTACATTTCAACAATACTGACGTATGTGCAGTAAGTTGTGCTTCAAAACAGCAAATTATCAAAAAACACTGTGGAAGGGTGCGATGGACACGTTTGGTATCAGCAGTGCAAAGATGTTGATACTTTTCCAACAAGGCTCATTGACAGGAAATGAAAAAATATAAAGAGAGAAGAGTGAGACATGCCAAGGCGTCATTTTGGTTGCCATTTTGGAACGAAACATCAGACTTAAATTCTCAAGGTGAAAACCATTGATGAGAAATCTACCTTGTGTTAACCATAACCATGATATTACTTACATGATATCTTGGAAAACTCACTTTTTCAGTGCTGGTGTACATACATTTGGGTATCTGGAGTGCCTACCAGCCCACAAACTGTGAAATAAGACAACCCAGTCAATTATTTATGTGCTGCCTAGTTAAGAAAACATTTGATTCAACAAGCAATTCACATTTGGCTCCCCTTTCTGTGTCACAAGCAGGCTCATTAAAATATACCGTCCCCAATCTGAGTGTCTCCACCGACGGCTTGAGATACCTTTGCAAAGGTGCGCCATACTTTTCTGTATTACGAGAAACCCAAAATACAACTATGTATGAACCTAAAAATGAGTGATGTTTTTTTGGAGCATGGGTCACTAAGGATGTAGGATGAAACTGACACCTATACTTCTTAAACATATGTAGCAAAAGCTACCGTTTATCATCTCTCCAGACCTGATAAATTGTGACAGAGCGGAACACACTCATGCAAAACCATGGCAGACGATGTTGTCTCTAAACTATTTTCCTCCCCCCCTCCCTGACCTTCATTTCTGCTCTCCACCCTTCAGGCACCGATCTGTCTCTCCTCTCCTCCCTCTAAACCTGATTTGCCTGTCACACCATCACATCCCCCTGCAGCCCCCCCCCCCCTCTTCTTTACTCAGTCGTTTTCCATCTCATGTTGTACTCTCAGTAACTGTGCTGCCTTCTTCTGACTTCAACATTGATTAATTTGATACTCTGGGTCTTCCCTTTCAAAGCTGTGGCTCATGGGCCCAGGCTGAGTGTTGCACCAACCCCTCTCCCACACGTGAGCTTCAATTACACATGGTTGTCTGCATGATTACCGAGCCACAGAGACAGAACACATAGTGAGGAGGGGAGAAATGAAAATAGGGATGGTTAGAGGCAGAGAGATGGATTATGGACCAAGAGAGAAATGTTTTTCCTGAGGTTCTTGAAAAGTTAAAATCAGTCATGTTTTCATTTGACAAATTATGATAAAACACAGGGTTTGACAGTTATCCAATTGATGAGATCTGTCTCTAAAAATACGTGGACATGCACTCTTATCAGACTGAGGCAATATTCAAATTATTACAGCCATCAAATATCACTTCAATCAGTTGATTTTATTTGCATTAACGTCCTAGTCAGAGAATATTGTTTGTCAATTACAAGCCACCAACTTTCAGCACAACAGAAGACTGGAAGGCCACGTGGACTGTGCCGGACAGTATTTGCTTCATGTCATTATGTAGAAGAGCAGCAAAAGTCATACTTGATTTTCAATATCATTTACGTTGCTTGCTTCATTTGGCCCATTTGCTCCTCAACAAATGGCACTTTGCAGTACAGCAGTATCATGACCTGTACCAAGGGAAGCACTCAACTTAATACACTCTTCTACAGTGTTTGACTGAAAATGTACAACTTCTGTAGACAAAGCATTTTACCAGTTTTAAGTACAGGAGAAGGTTGTAACTAAACAACTTCTGACTGAGAACCAGATTCATTCTGGCTAATTTGGAATTAGATAGAAGCATTCCTTTGAAATATTGTTTCAAGCTAACATCATCCCATCGTTAGATGAGGATAACATGCAGTATTAGGTGATTTTAAAACAGCTTTTCTCAAAAAATCATCATCATTTTCAGACAAAGCAATAAACCTATTTTACTCATACTGAAAAAGTGCACGTGGTAAATGTGTGCATCAATAATATATCTATTTTCCAAAGGATACATACACGTATTGCAGTTCCATGCACTTAATATTGCCTTTGTTTCACGATTTAGCAATTGTCTGTCATTCAATAGTGAGATAGTAGACGGGTCAGGTCAGGTGACTGCAGGGCAGGAGGAAGTGGCTGCATGTGAGTCAGGTGACAGGGACAAGTGGAAAAGTCCAAGGGCACCTGGTGGATGGAAGGAGAATGGCAATAATAGCAAGGAAAAGCCCGGGCATGGGGGGGAGACAGAGGTGACTGAAGGAAGAGAAATTCATATTTAATCCATCTTGTATTATATTGTGATTTACTGTGATGTGATTACCACATGAACCATTTCCTCCACCATCACCCCAAAGAGATGGTGCAATACTTTCAGATTACCAGGATACACCCATAATACAGTGACTGTGTGTTTACAAAGGGTAACCAGAGATTGCTATTATTCAGGAAGATGATTGCATGGTTATTTTGTTTCATGGGTGAATGAAAGCAGTTAAATTGCAGTGTTAATATATATGATACTAATACTTTTATTGTGTTTATCATAAACGTTATAACACACTGCAAAACCAAAAAAAGCATACATATTCTAATATAGAAGAATATTCATAATGGATTATTAATAACTACATTTTACTTTGATGATCAAAATCAGAAAATGTCTTCACTTAAAAAGGAAACGTGGTTTGATCGTGGGTCAGAATCTGAGTCTGTAACGAAACTGGATGTCTTTCATGGGATGAAGTGCTCCAAAGCCAATTCGACTGACACCAGGGTCAGGTATATTTTCATGAGGATTCTTCAGCTCAAACTCAAAGTAGACCACCATGAGGAAAACTAACTGTTTCAGCTCATTGTTGGCAAAGAACCTCCCAGGACACATGGAGGTCCCTGCGCCCCAGGGAACGTTGTAATACTTCACCTTCCTCCCTGCTTTGTAGAAATCAGTTTTCTTGCTCCCATCTGGCTGCAGAAAGCGATCATATCTAAATGAATGTGGATCAGGGTGAATCTCCGGGTCAGCCTGAATGACACTGTGAGGAAAGACTGCCAACCTGTCGTCCTTGCGGAGATGGTATTTGCAACCGTCAGCCATGTTGTAAGTCATATCCTGTCGCACTGATCTGGTAAGGAGGGGTGTCGCAATGAGTCGAAGTGTCTCCTCTACAGCGCTATCCAGAATTGGTGTTTTCTTCAGCATGTCACAGGTCAGGTTAATCAACGGGCCACCAAGTAGCACTTCCTGTCCAGATTCCTTCAGAACCTTATCTACCTCAGCCTTCACAGCCGTCATGGCTTCAGGGTGCTTCACGAGGAAGAGGAGCAGCCAGAATGCAGAAGGCCCTGTGTTGCCTTGGGAAACCCAAAGAAGCACAAGCATGTACCTGTCTATCATTGATTCCTTTATACCCATCTCCTGTCTGGCCTGTTGCATTTCCCACACCCAAGGACTGATGTTGTCCTTGGTCTTCACCTTTTGCATTGACAGTGCTTTCCAGAAGAAAGCCTTTAGGCTCTCTGCCTCCATCTTTTCCTTTGGGAGCAGGACTCCATAAGCCAGATTGGGAAGGAAGAGGTCAAATTTACAGAACTTGTAAAATAAAGCTTCTGATTCAGCTTTGTCTTTCTCTTTGGCTTTCTCTACATTTCCTTCAGTCTTGTGTGACACATTGCCAAAAAGGGATAAGTAGCCAGCCCTAAAAATTATATTGTAGCTGTACCTAAACAGACCATCTTCTATCCAATTATTTTGAACCGCAGATGAGCCAATATTGTCCAACATTACGTTCTGCAAATTAGACATCATGGATTGTGTCAACAGTTCCAGTCCAGGCCCCATCAGGTGTTTGTGGCTGCTTGTCATAATAATGTGGTGCTCATTCTCTGGAGATTTGTAACCAAAGAGTCGGTGCACCAGTTGCTTGGCAAACATGTTGAAGTCCAGTTTTTCTCGACTCTCCTTAACAAATGCTCCGAATGACAAAGGGTCCATAATGAATGTGATGTAATTGCCTCCCAGCTGTACCGTAAATATGTTGCCATGCTTTTGCTTCATCCGCTCTAGAAACTTAGCTGTGTCCTTGCGAAACTCTACAACATGACCCAGCCAGGGGATGAGCCCCTTATCCAAAGGGGGTTCTCCTGGTCGCCGCTGTCGAAATGCCCCTTGACGGTAGAGGAGTGCAATCAGAAGGGCAAGAAAACCAAGAAGGATTTGCAGCAGCAGAGTCATGACTGATTCCTCTTGCAGCCACAGAGTAATTCAGGGTGAAGGTGAACATTCTGCATAACAAATACCCTTTTGCTCCTCCCTTTGTTCATGGGATCACTTTTGCTACTGGGAGAGTGATACACTTTCATGCAAGATCTAGAGAAGGATTGAACTATACAAAAACAAGTATAATGTGATTCCATGTGTGGCCGAGCTGGATAGTATTTCTCAAAAAAATACTTACAATTAAACAAGATATTAAAAAGTATAATTTGTATAATTTAAAAACGGTATAATATAAAAATACTTGTGATGCAAACTGCAATAGGTGAAGAGAGTGTTAAAGGATAGTTGGCCGTATCTGTAGACAGTAAGGGGAAGAAATTTCTACTATGACAGAGTACTCGCACACTCCTGTGCCCTGCCTACACACACACACACACACACACACACTAAAACACATAAGAATTATGGGGGTGTGAAGCACCAAAACCCTCCACCGTCTGGACGCCACGCTCGTTATCAGTCTCATTCAGAGACAAAAAACACATCCTAGTGCTCTTTGGCTGGAACAGTATCTAACAAGCCACACGTCAGCTGGTTTACTACAACGGTATGAATCCAAAATAATCAAATTTTGCTGTGATTTAATTGCAATAAATGTATGTGTTATTATAGTAAAAGAAAAGTATGGGCGCTGGTATACTGTCATTTAATTCTAAAACTCATGAAGAAACTAAGGGCAGTACATGATAAAGCCTTTGGGAGCGGAAGTGGATGAACCATGCAGCTTAAAGAAAAAAACGCCCGTCAGGGACATTCAGTAAAGCGAACACACCCGCAACAATGATGGGATCATTTCACTGGTCAATGTTACACCATGCATACTGGTATAATATTGGTTGGGGAATTTTGGCAGGGCTATTGCACTAAATAATCCAAGAGCAGAAGAGAAATCTGTTTGTGGATGTTCCACAAACACTGAGATGTAGCCTGAGTGTGAGAAGAAGGGCTGAAGCTGGAGTGCAGGAAATCTGTGCAAGCAACAAAATATCTGCATGCAAGCATACAGTTTAAGCCGAAGAAGAACAAATCCATGCGCAAGAAAGGGCTATTTGACAGCGAGGACAGGGTTTTGAGGGAAAGCATTACAAAATCTGAAGTGAAATCAATTATCCTGCTCTCAAATTAAAAGACCATGCTCTTAAAAAAAAGATGAGAAAACATTTCTTTGCAAGTTTCCTAAATATATTTTCTATGTTTTTCTAATAACCGTCAAATAAACTGGCTCAGCAGGTTTGGGAAATCATGTGGATGCTTATTTCATCTAAACTATTCCCAAGATATGGTCCTGTCAGAGAGCGAGAGAGACCAAAGGTGATGGATTATGCCATTATCTACAAACTTTGTCATATTCCTGACCTTGGCTGCTGAAATGAATAGTACCCTGAACTCGCCTTGTCACCAAACTATTCTGCTCTATCTTCCTACTGTCCTGTTACAACCATACACTTCCTCACAGGAATCACAATCCCTGTACTGTAAGAGTTGAATTTCAGTTGAATAAAACAGTATGCAGTACTCGATGCAGTACAGCATATTGCACTGAAGCCCAATGGGATCAAGATAATGAATTTCTTATTGAATTGCAAAACTCTTAAAAGACTTCATGTAATCAGTTGCTGTGGAAAACTTTGTTTGTACTCACATTATATCTGTCCTCTATGGTAAAGCTGACTTTATGTACTCTGTTATTTAGTTTGAAAAGATGCTGTCAAAAAGTACGCCATAGAAGAGCATTTAAGATAATGCTTTATAGCCATCACACACCCCAGATAACTAAGACACTGTAGCTTCTCCTTTTACACAGCAGCCTAATTTTATCCAGGACAGCTATAACTGCTTAGATTCCCTTTTACAGGGCTAATCAGGGTTAAACTGCTGCAGGGATGTGATCATGTTCAGACAGAAAGAGAGCAGATAAGGATGCACAAGGACAGTTGTTTTGAAAGGCACTATTTGAAGTTATAGTAGATTTGTTTCCCCGGTCGCTGTAAATTAATGACTTTGTAATTCTGCTGTTAAAATTTAACAGTTCTGTGACATCAGAGGATCTGCCTCACTAACATTTTTGTGTAAACATTAGACGTTACATAATGGCAAGAAAAGATTTAGCTTTTTTTAATAATACTTTTTGCCTTCCTTTTACTGTCCCTACCTCCCGACTTTATCCAATTCCTTGACCTTTCCTCCCCTCAACTTATTATTCGTCTGTGGATCTTTCTCGGCTTGCCATCACTACAGCATAGTGAGGAGAGAAGGCGGTGTCTTCGTAATAAATTATAGCATTGGGCATTTCATGGAGGCATTAGTGTAAAATGCCTCGCAGTACGAGGGCAAAATCCATATTTCTGGCACGGTTGTCTCCAGTGGAAAATTGCCTGCAAACCCTTTGGTGCCACATTCTCTCCATTCAGCTTCATTTGTCATGCACAGTGCAGCAGGTAATGTGGTCTTTAAAGGCCATAATATGGGTGTGTATATGTATATCTCGTGTCAACTGTGTGGGATTTTAGCTCAAATCAAGTCAAATTTCACAGATGGTGAAAGTGGTGCTCAAAACAAGAATGGACCCAATTCACCCACAACCACAGATTTAAAGGATAGGTGTGTCAGAAGCCAATTGAAACATACAGACAGAAGAAATCCCTTCCTAACGAATTGAGGCTTTGACTTTTCGAGTTAGACAAATCAAGTGGGCATCTTCTAAAGTTACAGTCTTTTTAGTGAATGTAGTAGTTTAATATGTGTTACTGTCTCTCCATGTCATGCCTCAGCGACTGCAGGTTTGGACCCAAAAGCATGACACAGAGACCAGGCAGATAAACATAAAAGTTTGTCTCTACTTGTAGTCAAAAACACAGACGGTGGTCAGAAAACCAGGCAGGCAAACAACAAAAGGTTGCGTTCGGCAAAAGTCCAGCGTACAGGCATAATATCATGCAGCCAGGCAGCAGGCAGATGAATAGGCTGGAACACTTACTGGGGAATACATAAGAAAACAATAGGTAAACAAGGGCTGGTATATACACTGCAAGGGTAATGAGGGAAATGGGAACAGGTGAGCAGGTGGGTGGGGCAGTCAGGTGATGGAGGAAACAGGCATTATTGCAGGTCAGGGGGAAGTGCCAGGGTCTGAAATGACACTAAAGTTAGTCTAATGTTTACATTATTATGAAGAGGTAGGGAGAGAAAAATGGTAAGAATCCGGCTGACGCTCCACAGCTCAGCAAGGAAACACTGGAAACACATAGAGGACATTTTGTACTAAAACGACTGTAACATTGGGAGATACCTACTTGATGACTTCTTATCACTTTCATTGAAAGCACGTTAGGTAGGGATCTTTAAATGGCTGCGTTAAACAGGGGAGACAATAACAGCAAGCAAGAGCTGTTTCAGGGTTGGCACCTGAGTTTTGTTTTGACAGAAACGCTGTGGAGTTAACTTTTAAATAGCTGTTTCCAAACACGTCATGTCATGTCATTCCTTCATGTCATATTATTTCATGATATTTTGCAACATGTTTAAGTAGATATTGTGAACAGCAGTCTGTTGTTAATTCTGTGTTTTATATTGTCTCATACCGTTAGCATGTCTCGGATCCCAGAGGTTTCATACACACTAAGTTGTCTGTTTCAATATGAATCTTACAGACCTGACCCTTACAGCAGTGCATCATTCGCCACACGTCATGAGCAGCGGCTGAGTGGCAGCGAGGTACAGCAGTGTGTGTGCTGGTAGTTCCGTTTATCAATTGCAGTGTACAAACTGTTTTCCCACTGTGTCTCTGGTTACAAAGTATAGCGTCTGGGGTTCGGCGATGCACTCAGCGGTGTTATCACTACCGGCCCTTACCGGCCACCAGTGAGGAGTAAGCAGGCAGTCAATGGTGGTATAAAACAGGTAATAAAAGGTGTTTTGAGAAAGTGTGACTCACCGCAACCTCGAGAGGTCCTTGAGCAAACAGCCATGACTGGCACCCAAAATATTATGCAGTTAACGGAGATTAGCAGTGGACAGACACAGAGGTGCACACTCACTCCATCACGGACGCACGGACTCACTAAGTCACACACATAACCAAACACTCCTGGTAGAGATAAAAAAATACTCACCACTAGGTCCATTATACTGTTATTATCACGCAGAAGAGATGGACACAAATGCTTTAAATACATTAATATCCAGTGTTCCCACCTTCCTGTCTGTCATGTGTAAGATCTGAGGAGCTCCATACACTATGGCTGTCATTTGTTTTTCCTGCATTTGAGTCTCTGTTTCTCTGTGCCTCTCTCCTTGTCTTCGCTCTGTCTGATCCACGCCTGCTCATTCCCTTTTACACATTGTTCTACTTTGTCTACAAAGATGTCTACTTTGAAATGTCAACATTTCCTTCCTTTCAGATTGCCAGTGAAACTCTGGGAAGAGGATATAGAGCAGGTCGGTGGCTTCATCTTCCTTTCCCCTCTCATCTCTGTTTTACATAAATATTCGTCAGTCTATCTTCACCTCCATCTGTTTCTGTCTTGCTATTTTTATCCCGCTCTTTCTTCCTGTCTATTCTTTTAGTCTCCGCCGTCGCTTTTCTGTCTTTTACTTTGTCTCTCTCTATCCTCGCACAGCTCTCAGCTGTACTAACGAAAGGATGACTGATGTAGGTGTTGGCTGGGAGATGGAGCCTGTCATTTATTTTCCGGTTTTCTGCGGGGATACCCTCGGGCCAGACTCACTTCGACCACAGACATCACCATGAGTGCTTTTAGCCAAGCTGAAATAGCATTCATGCGTACGGTAGCCTACTGCATCCATACATCTGCACGATTGGACTACACACATACTGCTCCCGCCTGCTGTTGCCTCTGACAGAATGATGTTTGCTGGTGTCCCAGAGAGTGGGAGTCAAAACAATACCCTCTAATTGAATCCCCTGTGTTGCCACTTCAACAATCTCTCAGAGT